GGAGGCGACGAGGGACAAGTGGAGGTGGCAGGAGGAGGAAGCGAAGGCCGAAGTGCTATCCAGCAGGGAGGCCGAGGAGGAGGTCAGCAGCGTGATCCGTAGCGCGAGGTCGAAGCTGCAGATGCTGAAGTCACAGCTGGGGGAGGAGGTGGCGAAGCACGCGGGCAAGAAGGAGGAGGCGGAGGTGGAGTGTGGGAGGCTGCTGGAGTTGGTGAGAGAATCGGAGGACGAGAAGATGAGGATGGAGGTGAGAAAATCGCATACATGCTCCTGCTCCTGCGCCTGCTGCTGCTGCTGCTGCTGCTGCTGCGCCTCCTCCTGCTGCTGCTGCGCCTGCTGCTGCTGCTGCTGCTGCTGCTGCTGCTGCTGCTGCTGCTGCTCCTGCTGCTGCTCCTGCCACCTCTGCTCTTCGTCTTCCTCCCCCTCCTCTCCTCCTCCTCCTGCTCTCCTCGCTCCCTCGCCTCCCTCCTCGCTCCCCTGCCGCGCGCTTGACACCGTCGGCCCCAGCTGGAGCTCAAGAACGTGGAGGAGCGAGCAATGAAGGGGCTGATAGCTCGCGAGACTATAATCAAGATCGCCACTGCTGGACGTGACAAGGTACACCCGAGCTGAAACCTCAGCTGGGCTCCTGGCCCTCACCTGATGACTGAACGTCTCCTTGACAGGCCGCAAAGATCCAGGCGGATTTGACGGCAGCCCAGCAGGAGCTGGAGGAGGCGCGGAGCTTCCTGGAGCGATGCCGCGGGGCTCTAGAGCAGGCGGAGGAGCGGGCGAGCAACATCACTCAGCACCAGGTGGAGCAGCTAGAGGTGGCGTCGCAGCTGCAGCTGCAGCAGGAGAGGGAGAGGAGGAGGGAGGAAGCGGTGCTGCAGGAGACGAGAAGGGCAGGGATGCGAGACGTGCAGGCGGTGACGCGGTCGTGGGAGGAGGCCGTGAGCAGGCTGGAGGAGGTGAAGAAGGAGGAGGAGGCGAGGGAGGAGGACAGGAGGAGGTACGAGCAGTGCAAGTCTGAGATGCGAAGCTTCGGGGATGAGATGGAGAGGATGGAGGGGAGGAAGCAGCAGGCGGGGGAGAGGTGGAGCCAGCTGCTAGTCCAACAGATGAACCACTCGGGGATCGAGCGAGCGGCGATGGCGAGGAGGCAGGTCGCTTCCCACAGGTTTGTTAGGAGGAGGAGGAGGAGGAGGAGGAGGTGGTGGTGGTGGTGGTGGAGGAGGAGGAGGTGGTGGTGGCGGTGGTGGACATTGATCTTGGTTCAGGTGGTGTCGGTGGTAGAGGAAGCGAACGCAGTGAAGCAAAACTTTGCGATCGTGCTCGACGACTTTGATAAGACCATGGAGCTGCAGGAGAAAGCTGAGAAACAGGTGGGGAAGTGGAGAGGAGGGAGGGAGGGAGGGAGGAGGAAGGGAGGGTGGAACAGTGCGGCACAGGAGGGATGCGGATAGGATGCGTGTGACTTTGGCTGCAGTGGCTCTTCATGTACGAGGAGCACGTGGCGGAGGAGAGGCGCAAGGAGCAGGAGCTGGAGGCTGTGCTACAGAGGAGGAGGAGGTCGATCCTGCAGGAGCAGGAGGAGATGGACGGAGAGCTGCAGGCAGCGGCGCTGGTGGTGGAGGAGGAGGCGAGGAAGCTGTGGTTCGAGTCGAGAGCTGCGGACCTGAGGATGTTCGAGTCTGCGGAAGAGCAGAGCAGGCAGATAGCGACGCTGAGAGAGGAGGTGAGGGAGGGACTGAGGGAGGGAGGGGAGAGGGAGGGAGGGAGAGGGAGGGAGGGAGGGAGGTAGGGAGGAGGGAGGCGGGAGAGAGGTAGGAGGGGGAGGAGGGAGGGA